ATATTAAGTCTAGGCAAGTTACTAAATTAACAGATAAACCTTTGGAATACGGGAGGTTGAATCCATACTTGCAACAACATATTAGCTAAAATGTCCAGTATTAAACAACTTTAAAAAATGAATCATTCAAATAAACAGAGAAGTGTGACCCATACTCAAGGAAAAATAGCAGTCAATAAAAACTGACTATTGTTAGATCTAGTAGACAAAGACCTCAAAGTGCTGCTATACATATGCTCAAATAATTGAAATAAATTATATTTTAAAAATTAAAGGAAATATGACAGTTACTCAAAATTAGGATTATCAAGAGAAATATAACCTATAAAAAGTAACTAAATGGATTCTAGAATTGCAAATGAAAAATTTACAGCATGGGCTCAGCAACAGATCTGAGAAGGCAGAAGGAAGAAAGAGTGAAACTTGAATACATATCAATAGATACCCACTCTTAAGAAAAGAACAGATATTTTAAAAAATAAACAAATACCCCCAGAGACCTCTAGGATAGTATTAAGTATATTAATATGTGTTTAATAGAAGGCCTAGGAAGAAAAAAAGAGAAAGAAAAATGTGCAAAAATGATTAGTTAAAAAATTGCCAAATTTGATGAAAAGCATCAATATAGAGATCCAAAATCTTCAACGACCCCAAAGTATGATAGACACAAAGTGATCCATGATCCACACCTACTTAGGTTGTTTAGCCACACAGTCTGTGGTATTTGTTATGACTGCCCAAGCAGACATATACTAGGAAATACCTATGCTAACAGATGATGTTGCAGATCAAGTGGACACTCCACAAGCTAAGTCACTACATAAATGACCTCCATCTTTGTTTAACCACAATCACAGAAAAAGAGAATGGACTGAGATTAAATCTTGGTAGATAGAAGCTAGAAATCAGAATTAACCTCTTTCAGAACAACAATGAGTTCATCGACTGAGATTTGTACCAGCAACATAACAATAGAGGGTGATCACATTTTTATTATATAAAAAGGAAGACATTGCCAGAGGCTTTCCCCAAATGTTAATGGTGGCACTCAGAGACCCTTGTAAGACTGGGCTACCTGTTCTAGTTGGCCCCTAGTCAGTAGCCTCATGTCACTTTGGAACATCAGATTTCTAGTATTTTTCATTTTATCTTTTTTTTAGTGTATATTTTTAAAATTTTCATATAAAGTGAGAAGGTGGTTAAATTTTATTAGAGGTAACATTCTTCATCCTTTACTATCAGCATTTCCCAGTGTCTCACATCTCTTCTACCCTAGGATCCTCTACTACCTTTTTAAACCCTGTGCTCCAAGGAACAGGAGGTCCAGATATAGTAAGTTTGTCTCTAACTAGTCAGGGAGTCTGAAGTGAATCACATTCTATCACAGGCCATAGTTTCTTCAGATGTGTCGCATATGTCAGGTTAAGTAACATGTAAGTACCTTGTATATATTTTACTTTAAGATCTTTGTCTGTGCCTCCACAGTAAAAATAGACTTGTCTTCATGGTTGTTTTCTGTACACTTTAATTTCAGAAAATAAACTAAAAGTTCTATTTACATGTTTCAAAAATACTGGAAAACCTTCAAAGTTTAACTGTCTAAAAATTAGGCAGATGTGAGAATAGATAATATAGAACCACAATGTATTATTTTCCTTACTTTCAGGTATGCTATTCTATTGTTATTAGTTTCATTCACTAGATTTAAATGAGTATTAAGTAAGGTTCTCATGTTTGCATAGCCTTCAGTTTTTAAGATCAGCCTGTACATGCAGCCTCAAGTTGCTTCATTCTCCCAAAGGAAGGTTTTCAGATGAAAATCATGTCCTCGGTCACAAATTTTTTTTTGTTACCATAGTGATAAGAATGAAGAATTTTAAAAAGCTAAAAATACCTGAACGCATACAGTTTTAGGAATTTGACCTACTTGGTGTCATATACTAAAGAAGTTAATCAATTGAATTAACTACATATGCATTAGGTGAGCTATTCTGCTGAATGAAAAAAATGCGTGGGTTGCACACCTGGAACTATTATCCACAATCAAAGAAGTCAGTATGAATGAAGATGACTGACAAACTAAAGAGGATAAAATCAGATTCTCTTAAAAATGGAATATTTTCTAGAAGCAGGCAGAAAACCATTACTTTAGCTCCATTTCCATATTTTTTGTTTCCATTATTTAGAATTTCACCATTTTAAATAAAAGTTTCTTATGCATCAAAAGAATCTTTCTAATTTCTTTTGGAGCAACCTAATGGACGTATATTTAAAATTATGTTAAAGTGGCTCGTTTCCATAATGCAAAGCCTCCCAATTTTAGGCATTGTAATAAAACAATGTTTTTAAACTAAGTTTTTTTTTTTAATTTTAGTTTTTATGAGAAATTTAATAGCCTCAGTCATTTAAGAAAATCTACTATATTGCAAGGCATTAAGCTGGTCTGTGAAATATCAATAAAAGGCAGTACTTGCTGTCAAAAATGTTATAATCATTCATTTTTCATTACATTGACTTTTAAAGTGTCTGCCATTTTAATATGGAAAGAGCACTGAACTTCACTTGAAGAGACCTGGAAAAAGTTCCAGTTCCATTAATGAGCTTAGAAAAGTCTCTTTCTAAATCTCAGGTCTCTCATTTCTAAAATGAGCATAAATGAGCATGTCCCCTCCTCCGGAACACGGGTCATTATAATCATCAAAAGAGATGATAGGGGTGGAAACCAATGGGTGACATTCAAAAAATAACCTCTATAAAAATGAATCACTATATAATTAGGTTAAATATTTAAACATTTTCAAAATAATTAACAAAATTTATTTTTATAATGAAGCATACTTCAAATTATTTGAGAATAATAATAGCAAACATTTATTGAGGACATATAATGGAAAACACATTTTATATGAATTATTTCATTTAAACCTCACAACAGTCCAAATACTTAGATAATATTATCTTCCTTTTATAGTTGAGCAAAATGAGGTATATCAGAGATAAATTATCCAAAGACATACAACTAAGTAAGTGGTGGAGCCAGAAATTAAACACAGGCAAGTTAATTCCAGAGCCATGCTTCACATCTAAGCCTTTATGATATTGTCCAAAATAATCAGTAGAGAAAACGTCTCTATGAAATTTAATTTGAAAATAAAAACCTATATTTTAAATTATCAACAACAGCCCTGGCTGGTGTGGCTCAGTGGACTGAGGACCAGTCTGTGAATCAAAGGGTCACCAGTTCGATTCCCAATCAGGGCACATGCCTGGGTTGCGGGCCAGGTCCCCAGTTGGGGGTGTAGGAGAGGCAACCACACATTGATGTTTCTCTCTTTCTCTTTCTCCCTCCCTTCCTCTCTCTCTCTAAAAGTAAATAAATAAAATCTAAAAAAAGACAGCTTTAAAAAATAAATAAGTAAATTACCAACAACAATCAGTATAAATTTCTGAAATGTCTGATTAATTTTATTTTGTTATATTTAATTTTTCATTGTATTATTAGTTATTATAAAGAAAAGTAGAAATAATTTAAATATACAATAGTAAATACATTATAGATTATTACTCAGTCATAATTACTACTGTAAAAAGTGTTTATCACTTAGAAACTTGTATTGTTAAGCAAAAAGAGAAGATTTGCACCCTGGTTGGTGTGGCTGAGGGTACTGAGTGTTGGCCTGCAAACCAAAGGGTCGCCAGTTCAATTACCAGTCAGGGCACATGGCTGGGTTGTGGGCCAGGTCCCTAGTAGTAGGGGGCAAGCAAGAGGCAACCACACGTTGATGATTCTCTCCCTCTCCTTCTCCCTCCCTTCCCCTTTCTCTAAGAATAAATAAAATCTTTTTTTAAAAAAGCAGATTTTCAAACATGTAAAAAATAACCTCAATTTTTATAAAAACAATGTTTTATGCACAGAAAAATACTGGATAGACTTCAAATGTTAATAATTGTTATTTCTTAGTAATTTTATGTATTTCTGTATTCCCAAATTTTCTATAATGTTTTTGTCATCAGGACAAAAGCTGCTTAAACAAACAAACAACCCAATCATGACCACTAAAGCACAAAGCGACTTAGATGTTTCCGCTATTCTGATAACACATATTTATTAAGAGTCTCGAAAAGCATTCTAGGTACTAGGGATCCAGCAGTGTTAACACAAAGCCCAGGGGTAAAGAATTAGGTAAATTTACACTATGAACTAACAAAAGAAGGGAAGAATGTCAAACCTTTGATGACTCTTCAACCTTGTCACTGTGATCTGAAACGCACCTTCCAACTAGCATGACAGCTCTATCCACCATTTAAAAGGGCCCTGATATGTTTGCTTACCTTTTATTCTCAATTAACTTGTGAATATAGCCATGCTGTCCTCTCTCAATACAGCAGCAAGCCATGATAGTGGTATGAACATAGGAAGAAATGTTGAGAATAATCTCAAGGTGTTAAGGAAAATTCATCAAGACTTTTCACATCCCAATGACAATTTCCACCTCTTTACCAGGGCTTAGAAAAGGAGGAATGTCGCTCCACTTAAATATTTTCATACAACACTATTCTTTCATTTATTTACTCCTCAGAAAACTAATGGCCTCCTAACTGTAAAATTTTATTATATTGAAATAATTTACAGTGTTTAAACATTTATGTTCTTTAGTACCAGATCGAACCATCTACAAGAATTCTTATAGCATCAGTATTTAAAATATGGTGATTTAAAATACACTGTTAGATGTAACTTATAGCAAAAAAAAAAAAAATACTAAAAGCTTAAAAAGCTAAAATCTCCTTCGCCTAAAGAAAATTCATTGTATGAACTTTTAACTTTTAAATCTATTTCTTCATATATATTAAAGTCAGGTAAAATAAATTTGAAGGAAAGGATTTACTAGACAAGTTAAATAAAAGAGAAGGTAGGAAGGAAAGAAAAAGGGAGGAAAGAGGAAGAAAAAAAAAGGAAGAAAATGGAAAAAACAAACCAACCCTGAAAAACCACTTGCCTCTGTGGACCAGGTCCCAAACCTGATCGATTTGCTGCTGGGTTGGGAAATGACCACAGTCATTGAAGTACTTTAGGAGCTCACTTCTTTCTAACCCTTGCCAGTCTTCTTTCTTGGCAAACATTGTTTCATAGACTAAAAGGAGAAAGAGAGATGAAAGAGAATATTTTCTCTATAAACAATATCTCAGGTACAAACCACCTAAAAAGTTTCACCTAGATTTGAGGAAACTTGAACCCCAGTTTTCATTTTATGTCTAATGATAAGCCTCCATTCTTAGAGCTGCCCTGGATCAACCTCCTACAGAAGGTCGGAGGGAGGTGAAATTCGCACTTGCTTCCCCAAGGAGAACACTGGCGTCCTCCAGCCCGGTGTACGTGACAGCTGTCTGCAGACCTGACAGACATGAATGCTCACACTACATCATAAGACATAGCTTTTATGTCAAGATTTCTGGGAGGCCCGATTCTGCTGACCCATTTCAGTATTCATTGTTTATTAGTTCCCTCAATTTTTCATCTCTCTTGGACTTCTACCCACATTCTAACTATTGGAATGACTGATTTGCCTTTGAAATGATTTCTCTCCTTTTGCTTTGGCCCCTAAATGGAACAATGTCTACTTTTTCACTGATTGCTTGTAGTCTTGCTTCCTAGTTTCAGGTACTTGGCTACTCATAGTTGAAGGCTATGACAGAAAACCACTCAGGTAGGCCATCCCTCACCTGTCTCCCATACTTGGCATTAGAAAGGGAATTGATGAATTGATGCATACATTTTGCAAGTGTAGTTCTCCGTAAACATTTTATTTTTTCTTTTCAAAATGGTGATATTGAGTCACTATTCTTAAGTATATGGATTAGCCCCATGAAGCTGATTGTTAATTAGCATTTACAGGATGACAGGTTTTACCTCAGCAGTTTTAGCTCTGAAGCATGAGCTCTAGATGACAAAGGGCACCAAGAGAGGTTTCTAACAAAATGAATGTATCATCTTGGCACACAACCATATGGATTTCAACTTTCTATTCATTCATTCATTCATTCAGTTGAGGTGGACAGTCATGAGACATTGACAAATTCAAGCAATATTTAGGGATCATCTAAAAATGAGTAGCTCTTCCAGATCCTGAAGCACAGCAGTAAAATAAACATAAGTTCATGTTTAGTATATCTATGACTTTTTCTCTCATTTCAAATAAGCAAACTAGAGCATTTGCTGCTGGTGTCCCCATCCATACTATCTCGTCCCTTCTGTGTCTATGCATGCTGGCCTGACTTTTAATTGTCAGCATCTGCATTTCATTGCCTAAGGGCTCCCTCTGGCTGCTGGACTCTGCTGTGCCCACCTGAGCAGCAAGCCAGAAGTTCCAGAAAATTAAAGTCCCCACTAGAGCAGCCCTCAACCACAGACTGGGGAGAGCTGGTGGATAAAGACCCAGCACTTGAGACAAGTTGGCTGAACTGTTCTCTAGAGAAATTAAGCTCCGGTTGCCCACATGATACTCTGCTTGATAAAACGCTCTTTTTGGACTTCCATCTCTTCCCTGTCACATTTCCCCATTCTGCTAACAGTACTTCCTGGGATCAACACACAAATCAGTTAGTTGTACTTGAATTCTTATCTCAGGATCTGATTCTAGAGAAACCCAAACTAACAAAAAGAACATCACTTTTTACTTAAATGTTAAAGTAAATATATTTCTCCTTCAGTTAGCATACATGCCTCTATTAGTTTTTTCTTGAATTGATCCATTTTAGATGACTCTCACTAGATCAGACTGATGCACATGTTAACATTATGGCTCTGTAACTATATTGATACATAACAATGCCTTTAACCTGTATATTATGCCCTAAAAGCAAACGTTTGGCAATACACTAGCAGAATTAATCTAGGCAGGTATAATTAGGATCAATATAAAGCTTAAGTCATGAAAATTAATGAAATTTTCTGTTCATTGAAAGATATCAAAAAAGGTGCATAGATACTTGCCAGCTACCAAATATCACCCGATTAGCAATCAAAATATGTAAAAGATGGAAAATTTCCAAAGAAACATAAAGACAAATAACTACTCGCAAATTCCATGGACTCGAGTTACTTCAGACCTCAGTGCAAATGATGCCTTAGTTGGTAATGTTTTTAATCATTCATTTAGCTAACTCTCTTGTACTGTTCAGATTCTCTGGTGGACAGAGCACCATTGGTCCCAACTAGACTTCTTTACATGCTCATGTCAGCCTATTCTTAAAAAACCACCCGAGTGATGTGTTCCAATATAAATTGCACCATAGTCTTTGGTTCACAGCACTATGCTGTCTGCAGACTTCCCAGCTCTGTCAAAGTAAAATCCAGTGGACTATAAGCCTGATGCAGCCCGTGTGCACACTGCCTGGGCCTCTCCCATCTCACTGTGCTCTGCTCTGGCTCACAAGCCCATCCAGTGCGCCAGCCTCCCCGCTTCCTCCCACAGCACCTGCCTCGACCTTCCGGCCTTGCTTCTCCCCCTCCCCAGAGCCTTCCCCCTACTTCACTTTCTTTCAATCTTTTACTCAAATTCTCAGTTGGAAACTGCCAGAGTCCAGACTGGAAAACATAACCACATTAGGCTTTTGGGTTTTTCCAAACTGAAAAGGTTATTTTTAGATGCAAAAATAGTGTAATCTACAGTTACATATCAAGGAGGGGAAATCATGGAAAGTACAAGTAAGAAAAATAAGCAAGATTCTGTAAGGTTAAAAAATGAATTTAGTGACAGAGTTTGGGGGAGGAAGATAAGGCTGAGTAAAAATAGTGGGGCATTTAGAGATTTGGAAGTCAGTAGCTAAAAATAAAGTGAGCGGAAAAGAAACAGTGGTCAGCGTGATAATGTTCGGGTCCTAGTACATACTTTAATACATATTACTACAGCTGTACATTCATACCAGATTATGGAACATAAAGTTACTATCTGCAGAAGGGTATTATTTCAGAAAAGACTTCACTTACACTTTTTTCTATCCATCCATTCCTCTAACTCGGCAAAGTTTATAATTTGCCTCGTCCTCCAAAGACCAAGTCGATACTTAACGCGATGGATTAGTCTGCAGTACATGTTTATAGCCGCTCTCAAATTTGGCCCATGATACAAAGCCTATAAAATAGCAACATAGACAGGAAAGTGCCTTATAGATTTCTGCTATTTATATTTGATTTGATTTTGTCCCTTTCGTTTCATCTATCTCACCCAGTTTCTTGGCTTATGTGTATATTTATTGTTTCTTGACTAGATTGGTTAAATGCATGCATTATACAGTAAGATAATCTCCCTGATGTTCAAATAATTCCAGTGAGTTTCTTTGTCATCAGATACTTAGACTTCCCACAGAACAGAGCTTTCAGCAACAGATACTTTTATAGGAACTTCCTAGGGTGATGTCCAGATTTCTATAATAAATAGCCTACCCGGCCAGAAAAGGAAAAAAGTAAAGTTTTATTAAAGTATTATTTCATAATGAATAATTCTTGTCTAAGATATACATTTGAGGTCCTAAAGTTCTTGTATTTTCATCTTTTGAAAACTGTATGTTCATGCCTTTTGCCTAGTTTTCACTGGACTTTGTTTGGCTATTATTGTTGATTTCTAAAAATGTTGACTGTTAAGAAAATTAACTCCTTTTAGCATATGTGCAAATTTTGCTTTATCAGTTTACCTTTCATCTGTAACTATATTCTTCTGTCTATGAATTTTCTATACTCCAATAGACTTTTAAAATTAAAGCATTCATCTATTTGAGGGTATTTTTGTTTTCTAAATAGTCAGTTCCATTTTATTTATCAATTTAATTATTTTTACATTTTACATCTTCTAGTTCATTAATATCTTAGTTCTACATATCTTTATTAATTCATTTCTTAGCCTTTTTCCCCTGCTCTCAACTTCTTGAATTAAAGACTTAATTCACTATTTTAATTATTTTTAAGAATGTATTTAAAGGTCATGAATTTTCCTGAATCAGCTTTCCACTGATGTGCTTTGCATACCATTTTACAAGTGAAAAAACTGAAGCATAAAATCTTTAAATAACTCTCCTAAGGTCCTATAACTTGTAAGTTGCAGAATTGGTATTGAAATTAAAACAGGAACACTCCAGAGCCTACACTTTTATTTATACACTATATTCCTATTAATTTAAAGTTAGTATTTTCACCATTCTGTGAATTTTTTCTTTTGGTTTCTTTCCTAGCAGATTTCCTTTTATAACACTTAAGATCATTCTTGCTTTTGTCATTTATTTTGTTTTGAGTGACTCTTTAAAGGTTATTTTTAGCATTTTATTTTTTTTACTTTGCTTAACTTTGTGATTTTTCTGATATTTTTAAATGCTATGCTTAACTCTATAGTTCTTAATTTAGCAAAATTATTAATAAAATATTGCTTAATTTGCTTGAATGAAAAAATTAATTAGCATAATGTCACTACTTTCCTCTTCTTTCTCCTTCCATCTGAATTCCATCAGAAGTTGGGCAAATTCTGAATGTTTGCTAACATCTTTCTACATTTAATAACATTTTCCAATGTCTATTTTTAACCTGCATTTTGTTCCACAGGCCCTTGTCATTTTTTAAGAAATAAATAATGAATTGGAATGTTCCCCACTCTATGAATCTTAGTGGGAGGCAGAACTCAACCTCCGACAGCTCGGAGATACAGATCGGATGCGTATGACCCAAGCCTCCTGTGTTGCTACGAAGCAGACAGTGACAAAGTTCATCCATTATCTACACCAGCCCTAGGTTTTGAGTTGAAACTAATAATGCTTTTAGAAGCAAAATAGAGGGAAATCTATGTGTGTGGTAGAGCAAGCGTGGCAGCAGTATCCATTTTTCAAGAGCAGTATCCGTGGAGGAGGCCGGAATACCCAGGATTCAGTATCTCCGTCAGGCTCTCTCTGGGCAGGATTTGGCTGGAGTCCTAGGAGCTACATTCACTATCCCTTCCTTCTTAGGAGTGTAATTCTCAGACCTCTGCCCAATATTCTTCTCAGTATCTCTCCACCTAAATATGTCAGCAGGTTTCTTTTTACTATAATTAAGAATCAAGTGATGTTTTCATTGTACCCCAAAAACATAAGCCAAAAGGTCCCTGCTTGGCGTGCGCTGCTTAGATAGATGATGACATCTGCAAAGAGGGCAGGAGCTTTGGGCAGCTGCCACCAAAGCCTAACTGAGTATCTTTCCCTCTGAATTTAATAAATATTCTTTGGGGGACATGTCTTGTGAGGGAAACCGCAGGGCTGAGGCATTCGGAGGATTACAGGAGGTCTTCATGGTCAAGTTGCTGTTCTCATTACAGCATGGCTCTCTGCCAGGCTTCTGCAGGGAAGGGTGCCTCAGCTATGACGCTATGCGCTCTCCAGTATGCACATCTTTACATTTCTAGGCATTTCTCAAGATAGAATTTATCAGAAAAATGTACAAATTGATATTTATAACAGCAACATTATAAAAGACTCATGGAAAATTAGACTGGTTATAATTATTTAAATCCCTCTTGACCTAAAGGGTAAATGTATTATACTCATCATATCTCAACATTTAAAAAAAATTTTAGTATGCCTTTTTAGTCTGCCTTTTGTTTGATATGATTATGTCTTTTTAAAAATATGTAATGAATTCACTGCTTGTTTGGAGAATTCCACTACCATATCACACTCAGTGGGATTTAATTTATTTGATTTTCTAGCAAGAGTAGCCTCTTTTCATGTTTACTAGCCATTTATGATTCTCCTCCTGTAAAGTACTAGTTTATGCCGTCTACCTATTTTTCTATTATTATGTTTTTATCAGTTTATGGGATAGGTGTTTACATGTTGTCATTTTTAACCCTTGTGCAATATTTCAGCAAACTTTTTTTACAGTTTAACTTTTTAAAAAATGTTATAGATCTATAAGCAGATCTCTTGACCATATCCATTGGTTGAAGTCTATAGTTGTCTAGACACATATAGGACAGTGTCCCGAAGGCTCTTTATTCAAAATCTTATAAAAACAAAAAGAAAAGGTTTTTAAATGACTAAACCTATAGACAATGAAATAAAAATTGAATATCCTGAATAGTTATCTTAAGTACACACACATAAACACACACTTAAACATACACACTAGAGATAACACTAAGCATGATTTTTGTATTCATTTCCCCACCTCCTAAAGAATTAATGAAGTCCTTAGCCATATACATGTAGCTATAGGACATGTCTCTCTCCTGGGTTTGGTTCTTCTCTTTTTCAGGCCTCTTCTCTGTGTCCCCTGACCTAGGTCAGAATAATGATATTTATTACTATCTTTAGCATGTGCTCAATCATTCTATATTTAATTGCTTGGTAGGAAGACGAAGTACACGTTCTTGGCTGTCCGTATCACCAAATCGTGTTGGCTTCCAATGCACTCTGTAAAGCCTCAGCAGACGCGCCTGACGACCCCAGAACCAGTGCCTCCTTCTGTGAATGCAACTACAGCTCTCCGCGTCAGCGCCTGGATGTGAGCACGCCCCAAATGGGCCGACACGATCAGAAGGGAGTTGGATCTAACCTCAGGTTTTGACCTAATATTCCAACGTCCATGGTGAGCCTGATTTGAGAAAAGAATTCACAAGTTTGCCATGATGACTGGATACTATTGTTACCAGAATGCCCTAATGTTTTAAAGTTCCCAGAGCCAGACAGAGTTAGGTTTGATTCTCAAAATTTGAGTATGTCATCGGCGAGATGACAAGTTGCATTACCTTGCTGCCTTTTTGTAACTACTAAATATAATTATACAACCGGGGGATGGTACCACTCCAATTCTTGATTACCAACCTCATCTGGATTCTTAAAGTGACATAGAAATTTACTTGTGTTTTATTAATCATCCATCTGCCACTTGCTATAGAAACTTAATCTCCACAAACACTCACATTCACCGTCTAAATGCTCACAGAGAATAAACAGATAGCAAAGGAGAAACAAAATTAATGCACACATAGGTGGTCCCAGCCATAGAGTAAAAGTAGTGCTAGAACTTTTCTGGGTTCAGTTAAGGAGAAGCCTAGCCTTTTGTTCAGAAACTCCAGCTTGACACAGTCATCAAAGTAGATTATTCATAACACTTTCTTAATCCAAACAGAGTAAACAGAACCTTATTTAGGGAAGCCATAGATTGACCAGGTGATTATTCAAAATGCTACTTAATTGAATCTACATTAGATATTATATTATAAATACATTATATTGTAATATTTAACATATGCTTTACCTTGGTCATTATTCTCTGATATCGTTTGCGTTCAAGCCACCCTCTGATATGTGCCTGCATGATGATGATCATTCTAATTACTTTTTTGGTAATTATCAGTTTGTCCCTTTTCTGGAATACTTGGAAAATTTCTATGTGTGGTCCGATTCTTTTAACTTTATTGTCAAGTTTATCAATTTTAGAAGGAATGGGTTGTACCCTGAAATAAAATATTAAACTTTTTATTATAAGTAATAAGAAAAATGAACACTTTTGCAAAGTCTTAAATTCATTTCAATGATGACTGTATTCATATAAGAAATATATTGTCATATATATTCCCTGAACATGTCAATAGGGTTCTCCAAAGAAGGGTGAACATACCGGAAAAACACAGACTTCATATACATTTCCTGGACATGTCAATAGGGTTCTCCAAAGAAGGGTGAACATACCAGAATAGATGTAACATGTATAAAATTAACCTTCTGAAGAAAAAGAAAACCCCAAATAAAGTGAACTTATGAAAGCTTATTCACAACTATTCAAAGGAGAGAAATAGTATATAAGGAACAAAATACTTTCCTGCAAGAGAGCAAGTTAGTTAAAATAATTTTCTGGTCTCAGAAGCCATTAAACTAAGGACTACTTCAACTTATTCGGCACTGGTAGTCTGTCTACCAATTTTCTGAAAATTAATTTTATTTTCTAAATGTTATCAGTTAAGAGGCACAGTAGAGTATTGGTAGGGTCAGGGACTCCAGGACCGCAGGGGTGAGGGATCGTACTGGAGACTGACAGGCCCTTCACCACTGATACAGGCGGTCCTTGCAGTGATGATAAACACGTGAGAAAACTGCAGACTTTCGGCCATGAACAGATTCTCTGTAACCTTGGTCATCTTGCGGCTGATGTTTTTTTCTTTTATATATCTGTTGTATTTTAAATATGGCAGTCAGTTTTTTCAATGTCTTCCAAAGTCCCAGTTCTCTTGTAATGTTCACATACAAAGCCCTAGTTTTCTTGTAGTGTTCACATACAAAAAGCCTTTTATTCTTTTTAATTGCTTTTGTTTCTGCAACTTTCACAGCTGAAGTTCCAATGAGAGACCCAAGTGAGGAGACCCAAGGCTGAGTCTCCTCTGAAAGCACACAGGGCCGCTGCGTCCCAGGCCCACCTCTCTCGATTCCCGCACTGAATGGCATTGACTCTGCTTCTGCATTCGTTTTTTCTGTGTCTGTGTTCACTCTTGCATTAAGCTGGTTCTTAATGTATCTTGTTCTGTTTTCCACACAGCCTTTACTTTTCTTCCCTTAGTGACTGAAACAATGAGAGTTTGATTTTGATTATTTGACGCATCTAGTCTCTTTTGGGTAATAGATGGTATGTGACTGGGAACCCCACCTCAATTTTTTTCATTGCCTTTTCTGCTAGTTTGTCTTGAAGCTAATGATATCTTAGAAAGTTCCCTGTGTTATATGTTGTTTGAATACCAGTATAGCTAAAATCATTCAAGAGGTAATTTTGGGCCCACTAGAATGGACCCAGATTAGGAGATGTTCATAACAAGCATTCCTTGGAGATCCTTTTTGATTCCCTGACCTTCCTACTTTCAAGTAGCTGAAACTGACCAGTAATATTGCCCAGGCACAGGAAATTGTACTCCGTATTTACATCCGACACACAGCTAAAGATGGAGAATTGAGGCTGTTAGCTGTCTTTATCCTTCAGTATATAAATGAAAAAATCCTTGCTCTCCTTAAAAAAAAAAAAGGAAGTTAGCCTTGTACAATTTCTAGTAACTGTAGCTCTTTAGGACCTGTGGCCTCTTATTTCTCCCATTCTCTCTTGAGAAAACTTCTGTAAATTAATGACTCAAATATGTATCATTTTGTTTTCTGGAGACATATTTGATTTAAATAGAGCTACCAGGAAAGGCAAAAAAAAAAAAAAAGAAGAAAAGGGTTTTTTTTATTTTTTTGTTTGTGTTAAGATTGATATTGAATAGCATAGAAAAGAGGGAGCTCTGACTCCTAAGAGGATTTTTGCTTGGTTAATATCAATTTTTATGAGTGGGTCTCAATGTTTGAGATAAACGGAATGGAGGTAAAGTAGAAACGATTATTTCTGGCTTGTCCAGAGTTTCAAGACCTACTATAAAATCTTATGGATTCTCAGTGCATGACTTTTTCTTCTTTCTCAGAGAATAAATAAGAGAAGTGTTATAGAAATACCCAAATGAGCCAAGTTAATACCCAAAGTCCTATTATCTAACAGCAAGGTGTAAAAAAAAAGTTAAAGTGATAGTGTGGTTGATTGTAAGGTGACATGTGATGTGTACTGTTGAAACTTCAGTGACAGTGACAAGACTTCTCTCGTCCTAAATGGCCTTGGCGGGCACGTAGTTCTTAGTCACCTTAATCCAAGTGTGTCTGCTTAATCCAAGATCCAAGCAAAACAATAATTAATTATCTAGAATTAAATAAGCAGATTAAATTATGAATGATATTAATTTTAATTAAAAGTGTATGAAAATTCCCTTTTTGTGAAAAACTTAATAAATTTTAATCTTTTTGACTTTACATGCATGAACTAAAATAAAACATCCTTTAAATGGAATGGAAATGGTTCTAACTAACCCCTCAGAACACTAGAGGAAGAAAATCTTAATGATAATTTTAATATAAATCATGAGTTAATGTCATCAAAAATGATTTCATAGAAATTAAAATCATATTAATTTATTTTATCTATAAAACAATGTAGCACAATAGTTAAATGCATACAAAATGCCTTTATTGAATTCATTATATGTTTATTTACAAAGATGTAGTAAAAATCAATACTTTTTTCTATGATATAATTGAAAAATCTAGCCTGTATCCATATTCTATACTAAGATACTGTATTTAAAGGCAAATCATTTTACTAGATATTAGGGAACATGAACTCCCTTATGTGAACTCCCTTATGTGAAGTCGTAGATAACTAGCATGCTTTCTCCTCTATTGCTTAAGGAATTTTCACCTGATAGAATGTCACTTCCTGACAAACAAAAAATATTGGAAAAATTGGGAATATTAAAAAAGGGACAGGGAATGCTTATATCATTATATATAATGTAGATAAAACCTGGAAGAGGAAAACAGAATAATTTCTAACCCCTGACCTTAATTGAAGAACTCACAATGGCAAAAAAAATTCCTCTGCCACATAAAATCATTTTACAAGAATATAACACCAGGGAATTTATTAATCTTCTAGATAGAATTTACCGATGCCTTCATTCATATGATTCTAATTTGATAACCCTAGAGTATGGGCATCTTTATGTTTTAATCAACACCTCTTATTCCATTTATGTTAATAGAACTGGCCCAATAAAACACCAAGTTAATGATATTGAATCAAAAGCTGCTGAACCAACCTATTCAGTCAAAACTGTGCCTTGGAGTGCAACCTAACCACAAGGAAGGGCTCAGAAAGCAAGCTTCCAGCCTGTCCTCCCTCCCTCCCTCACGAGTGAGCATACACACAGTATCTCAGAGTCAGGGAAGAAGGCTTCCGCTATCTTGTGATGAGCAAACACAGGTAATTCCCTCTAGCACAAGTCTTCAAAAGAATTAACATTTCAAAAAAAAAATAAAACTATATGTATGAATATATTCTTTATAGTTTCAGTTATAATGGAAGAAATTCAGAAATAAATATGTATGTAAATAGTGTTATATTCAATGAATAATTATTATGTGGTCATAAAAGTGATACTTATAAAGATTATGTAATAACTTGAGAAAATGCTTATGATTTCAAAATGGTATTGAGAATGAAGATACTAAATTATATTCATCATATGATTCCAGCATTATTTTTTAATGACATAGTGAGGTATATAAATAAGGTGAGGAAAAAAACATGCCAAGTAGTATTAGTGACAGTATTAATGCAGTTGGTTGGTGGCATCCAAACCGACTGAGGAGCATTTCCACAGACCTCTTGCTCAGGACCTGCCCTCATAATATTCAAATTCATTAAATCTTCCAAAAAAATACATGCAAATCCCTAATTAAATACTAAGTTGTAAATAAAAGTTTAGGTGTAAAGGAAAATGATTATTTGTTTCTTGGTTTTTACTTTGTTCAGATTATCTGAAATAGGCCAATATGCATTCTGTAATAATGAGAGAAAAATAGAACTACATTCCTTAGTAGCAGTAGCTGCAGCAATCTTTTATTAAGCACTTACTTCTGACACTCTTTCTCCTTTAATTCTCAAAATAATTTTTTTTGGATAAATGTTACTATTCTGATTGTATAAACTGATGTTGCAATAAAGTAGGTGACTTTCCAAGACCATGAAGGTATAGTTAGCACAGTAAAAGTTGAAAGCCCTCCTTGTTATGTGTGTGATAAAAATCAAAAGGGGACATGATTATGTCATGACTTCAGAAAGGCTGGCATTGGCAGTCCCCAGTCCTCAAGGATCTGGATGACTGGCTCTAAGTTTTCGTCCTTCTGTTGGTTTAGGTAGCACTGAAAAGATACAGCCAGACCATACATACTCACTATCACAGAAATGTTCAGCCTCATGCAGGCTACAAGAACGAGTTGTAAGGAGATGAGATTGGGGAAATATATTGTGACTGGAGACCAAGCAGCTTCCTCTGATTTATAAAATGAGGAGAAACTGTCCTTTGTTTACTCTTCCAAATGTAATTTTTAAATTTATCTTTCCTCATAATGTCATAATAGTATTCTGGTGTGGAAATTATTATTATTTTTACAGATTCTTAGTCACTAAACAGTCACTATGAAACTCTTTTAGAAAATCTTTACGAAGATAAATAAAAATGTGACTCATCGGAGCACAGATGTAAGATCTGTTTTCACCACAGAAGAGACCACCCCCTTCGCCCCCAGCTCAACAAAAGTCACTTCTAGAAAGACTGAACAATCAGGGCTGACTAGCTGGACTTGACATTTTTTCATTTGAAGTTTGTCAAATCTATGATCAAAGTTATCAAATCCAATAGTTTTTAGTGAGAAAAGAAATCATTAAGAAAGATGATATGTGAGACAAGATGCAATAAGTTAATTAGTAAGTTAATCATGTCTGAACATTAGACTGAGCTTGGCAAACATTTGAACAGGGAATTTCCTTTTAACTGCTAATGCTTATATGATAATATATATTAAACACTAAATCAGTTTTAGAGTTTGG